TAAGTGTTACCAGGTGCAATCTGACATTTCCATTGGAAAGGTTGACATTTTTTAGCATAACATCACTCAGAACGTGTTGTCATTTAATTGACAATTATTTTATTTACAGAGAATTAAAAAATTCATCTCAACCAAAAAATGGAACTAACACGTGAACATTTTCGTGTGATCATTTTTCATAACTTTTAACGTGGATTATCACGACTAGAGTGCATTGATGAACTTAGATCTTTGTATGACGGTGAGGCACCATCCTATAGCACTGTGAAAAACTGGTTTAATGAATTCAATTGTAACCGACGCTCACTCAACGACGAATTCCGTAAAGGTCGTCCAAAAGCGGTGGTTGTGCCAGAGAACATTGATGCCGTGTGTGAACTGATAATGCAAGATCGTCATGTGACATACCGTGAGATAGAGGCATCCTTGGGCATTTCTCCCACCAGCATACATTCAAAATTGCATGAAAACCTGGCCGTAAAAAAGGTTTGTTCTCGTTGGATCTCGCATAATTCGACAATCGCTCAAAAAAAGGCTCGTGTCGATCGTGTCGAAATGTTGAAAAATTACGTTCGCGGTGCTTCAAAAGACGTTTATAAGATCGTCACAGGTGACGAATTCTTAATCTATGCGTATGAGCCCGAAACAAAACAACAATCGACCGTGTGGGTCTTCGAAGACGAGCCAAATCCAACGAAAGTTGTCCGTAGAAGAAGCAGTTTGAAAATAATGGTCGTTTCCGCTTAAGCAACGAAGGGCGGTCACTTCTGAGTAGTACACCACAATTTGTTTGCCTGAAGTCTTCGGAGAAATTCAAAAAACGAACAAGAGAAGACGAGTCATTATTCACCATGGCAACGCGAGCTGTCACACATGCGTGGTCAACGATTTTCGTCGCCAGAAGATGCTGTTGAAGCGTTCAAAAACCATGTTTTGGAGGTGTCTCAATCGGAGTGGAAAAAGTGCTTCGACAATTGGTTTGAGCGCATGAAAAGGATATAAATCAAGTTGGAGATTACTTTGAAAAACAATAAACAATTTTTGATGATAAATATTCGCTTTTTCATTATTAGGCCATAAATATATATAGCAGCCCTCGTAGTACGTATTATTCACCACATACATTTAAAGCGAATGCGCCCACATCTCTATTTATCAACAGATTTATCGCTACTGATCAATTAGAAATGCATGTAACGCAATAATACGTATCATTCACCACATACATTTAAAACGAATACGCGCATAACTATGAAGCTCAGAATCAGCGCACCTTAACCAACTGATCCAACTGAACCGTACTTGACTTTTTAACTCCGCATATTTAGCTGGAGTTTTGTTACTTTTGCTATGAAAGTTTTTATTAACAATTTTACTTGTTGTTTTTATATATTTAGAACGAAATCATAAACCAGCTGTAGAATAATTGAATTAATTAATTAATTATATTTTTTATTTTTAATTGTTAAATTTCAAACCAATTCTATTCGTAGAGGCATTATTTGTTGCATGATTTGTTCTTTCTTATGTATAGAACCTAATCTAGGAACGTAATGCTGAGAAAGTTATGCTAATGTTACTCCACTGGTCGCACGGGCGAGAACCAATATTTATTGGCGAGAACCATATTTTTGTGACTAAGTTGTAATTTAACGTCAAATTTTCCAGACGGAAGTGACTATTATATTTTTATTTTATTAATTAATTAATTTAATTTAATTTTTTTTTTTTTTTTGAAATCCATTTATTTAATTACAATCTGTCAGGAATGAATGACAATAAGTAATATATATAAATTTAAATCGTAATAATGGTTATTACGATATAAAAAGAAAGGCACGTATGGACTATGACCAGTGACATATCCATATATATTTAAAATAAAAGTGTATTGTCTACATATACATATTTAAAATGTCTCGCGATGTTTTTCTTCTCAGCCTTGTAAAGGTATTGGAAGGGGACATCAGTTGAGTAACCAGAGGGTTTGGGTGCATATATAAGCGTTGAGCGTAATTCTTTAAAATACTTGCTATTTCTTCCTTGATTGTTCGAACATGTAATTGTTTATGTAGCTGTTCATTCGTTATATACCAAGGTGCGTTTGTGATCATTCGTAGTGTTTTAGATTGGAAGCGCTGTATAATTGCCAGGTTTGAGTCTGCTGCAGTACCCCATAATTGGGCCCCATAACTCCATATAGGTTTAAGTACAGATTTATATAAGCAGCTTATTGTCGAGTGACAGTTTGGAATTTCGGCTGAGGAACCAAAATAAGTTTCGTAATTTAAGACCCAAGGCTTTACGCTTTTTGAATATGTGCGATTTCCAGGTGAGCTTACTATCCAGATGTATGCCCAAGTATTTTGTTTCTACAGCTTGTGGTAATTGAGTATTGTTTATTAAGACCGGCGGGCACGTAGAACGTTTTGTAGTGAATGTTACCTGGACAGATTTTGATTCATTCGGTTTAATACGCCAGTTTATCATCCAGAGAGCAACATTATCAAGGCAGGTTTGAAGTTTGGTGGAAGCACGGATTGGGTCACTGTCAACTGATAAAATAGCTGTGTCGTCTGCAAATGTACCGATAACACTCTCATCGGTAAAGGGAAGATCCGCAGTAAATAAAAGATAAAGCATTGGTCCCATTATGCTACCTTGAGGTACTCCTGCTTCTATATCATGAAGTACTGTAGTTTCGTTTCCATGCTTAACGAAAAAGTGCCTAGCCGAGAGGTATGATTTTATAAATATGAAAAAATTTAGAGGTAGATACAGTTTTAGTTTGAACAGGAGGCCCTCATGCCATACTCGATCAAAAGCTTGTGAAATATCTATAAATGCCGCAGTGCAATATTTTTTACCATCTATCGCACTATGGATATGTCTGACAAGTCTGTGAATTTGTTCTATTGTGCTATGTTTTTGGCGAAAGCCGAATTGATGGTCAGGTATGAGTCTGTTTTGTTGGATAAACGGAGTAAGGCGCTTTAGAAACAGGATTTCCATAACTTTTGACAGGATCGGAAGTAGACTTATTGGCCGATATGATTTGACGTCTTCTGGGCTTTTCCCTGGTTTCGGTATCATGGAGATTTGTGCTATCTTCCACTGTGGCGGAATAAACCCCCTTATTATCACAGCGTTAAATAGATGAGTGAGAAATACAAATCCTTTTGGTGGGAGCTGCTGCAAGGCCATGCCTGTGATTAAATCGTATCCTGGAGCTTTTTTTACTTTTAACTTTGTTATTACATCTCTAACTTCATTAATAGTATCTCTTTTAATTGGAAGTTCCAATTGATAAGGCTCTTGTAGAAAATTAATCCTTTGTTTCATGACATCAGGCATATTTTGGTTATCATTTGATTTAAAGACCTGGTCCAAATGTAACGCAAATGTTTCTGCTTTTTCAATATCGCTTTTTGCCCATGAGTTGTCGATTTTGCGTATAGGTGGTTGATAGACAATCGGTCTGTTGTTCTTTTTTATGGCTTTCCAAAGGGAATATTTTGTATCACATGAAGCACTTAGGTTTTGAAGGTATAGCGACGTGCGATTATTGTTATACTTTAAAAGAAGGGCTTTAACGAGTTTACACAGTTTGTTTAAGATGTTTTATCCGCAGGGAATCTCGACTGTTGCCAATGTTTTCTCATCCTACGCTTTTCTTTAATCAGGTATCTAATGTTAAATGGATAATCTTGCTTAACACTTTTAGAAATTGGTGGAGTTGATTCCCATGCAGACATTTGGACACAAGAGTTGAAATGCTCTACTGCTTCAGTTACGTCAGATTCAGTTTTTAACCTGACTTCGGTATTTAGACCAATTGAAATTAGTTGACGGTAACTATTCCAGTCAGTGTTTTTATTATGAAGAATACATTTTTCCATAATTTCACAGCAGTCATTGAGAGTGATTATTATTGGCGAGTGGTCAGATGACAAGTCGAAATTGGACTTACAGG